TGTATGCATGCCAAAGGGTGTTGCAGCCCTGCCCAGCCTGGTCTGCGCTCAGCTCCAGTTCTCACACTCAGCAGCAGGAGCAGTGATCCAGCAGGAGAGCCCCTGCAGCTCCCCATAGCAGCTCTCACTCCTCTACATCCCCAGACCCCCATCTCTGAGCAATCTGCAGACTACCCCCCACATGCCCAGTCCTCTGGTAGTGTGCCATGCGAGCCTGGGACCCTGCCTGCCTACCCAAGACCCACACAGGCTTGAGTGCAGGTCCCCAGAGTCTGTCTATTGGTTGTGCTTGTATCTGTGCCCTCCACCATTGACCAAATATCTTTAAAAAAATATTGAATATGTGAGTCCACTGACACACTGGTATAGTTAACACAAATCTGACATTAACCAGGCCCAGGATGCACACCAGCTCTTAGCTGCTTCTCTCCCAGCAGTGTAACACTTGCATAGGTACAATACATCCTGGGCTGTTGCCTGCAGCTGGGCAAGGAAAGCACAATTTAAAATGCCAGCAGATACCACTGCCCAGCTACCAGAATGGTGACAATTTAGCACTGACGATTCTGAGTGCTTCTAAGGGGAACTGGCATGCTCCCTCACTGCTGGTGGGAGCTACATTGGTGCGACTAGCTTGGAAATGGCTGCTTACTGAGAAACCAGTACTTAGAAAGAAAAAAAAATATATGAACTTTCATAGTATCCTAGGTTTTTATTTTATTTATTTATTTTAAAAATTTATTTATTTATTGGAAAGTCAGATATACAGAAAGGAGAGACAGAGAGGAAGATCTTCCGTCCAATGATTCACTCTCCAAGTGAGTGCAACGGCCGATGCTATGCCGATCCGAAGCCAGGATCCAGGAACTTCTTCCGGGTCTCCCACGCTGGTGCAGGGTCCCAAAGCTTTGGGCCGTCCTTGACTGCTTTCCCAGGCCACAAACAGGGAGCTGGATGGGAAGTGGGGCTGCCAGGATTAGAACCAGTGCCCATATAGGATTCAGGGCGCCTTCAAGGCGAGGACTTTAGTCGCTAGGCCACGCCGCTGGGCCCAATATCTTAAGTTTTTAAAACAGTTATCTCACACACATCCATGCCTTCCCAGGCCCTCTCCCCAGGTTCCTCACAGGTGCACACAGAGGAACATTCTGCCTGTCCTTGTGAACCATGTGAAGCCTGCAGGTGCACCTGCCAAAGGCAGGATGGTCAGCAGAGTGTCCACTGTGTCATCCAAGGCTGTTGTACTCTGTGACAGAAATGCTTAGCTACACCTTCTGATTCCCTCAGGAAGCCGCCAGGAGTAGGTCCACTTCCTAGGGAGTTTTTCTATCACAATGGGAGGGAATCCTGCTAGGTCTCATGAAACTCCTTGTAAGAATCTATTGCCTGGGACAACCAAGCTCACACTCTCTCAGGCAGCAAGCATGCAAGCCTGTGGTTGCTCTGTCTCGGTCCATTCTGGACAGCCAGCCCTGGGCTATGTGTATTGACAGAAGAGAAAGTCCCGCTTTTCCTGGGGTGTGTCTGCTTCTTCCACACCCCAAGGGGACATCATGACCATGTGGGGCTTTTGGCAGCACCATGTGAACGCCAGGTATCTGCATAGTTGGGATGGCATCACCCCCTCCCTCACACCAGGAGGCCCACGGGAGGACCTCTGTAGTTGACCCAGTGCTGAAGGTGTGGAAAACCAAACTTCAGGAAGAGGGTACTAGTGTATCTACGAGTGATTACTTTCTCTAAAAATGTCTTCATTTTGCTTGAAAGAGGGAGAGAAAGCAAGAGACAGAGATTTTCCATGGACTGGTTCACTCCCCAATGTGCACAGACATCAGGACCTGGCCTGATTGAATCCAGGAGCCAGGAACTCCATATGGATCTCCCATCTGATGGCAGAGACCCACGATTTGCCTTGCCACCTGCTCCCTCCCAGGATTTGCACCAGCAGTTGTGTGTAGATTGTCAGCTTGTCAGTGAAAGAGCTGGGAATTTGAACCCTCTGGTGAGGGCTGCAGGTGTGGTAAGCTGTGAGTTAACTGCAGTGCCAGATGCCTTGCCCCTAAACAGAGTCACTGCTTTCTTTGAATGTTGTTTTACCTGGGTGAGAATGGGCCAGGGGAAGGTCAGAGAGAAAGGGGAGGGAGAGAACAAGAGAGACAGAGAGGGAGAAAAAGACAATCTTCCTCTTTAGGCCCCATCTGTAGGCAGGAAGCACCTGTCCTTCCCCTTCCCTTGAGATTTGTGGAAGTGAATCCTTTCCCACCTTCACATGTGGAACACCGAAAGCAAAACAAGACGAGCCTTATACTTCAGGAAGAACACAGGCTTCCGGGGCCTGCAGCAGGTGACCCACAGAACTTGGCACACCAGCCTAGATGCCCACAGGTCTGCCTCCACCCAGGAGCTTTTATGCTTGCATTTGGCCTTGGCTTACGGCCCTCAGGCTTTGGGGTGAGCTGAATGGAGCAAACAGAAGTTCTCACTCGATCTGGCCAGTGTCTCAAGAAGCAATTAGCTTGTGGTAACCAACTCCCGGAGACATAAGGCTCGTGGAGCCAGAAAGCATGTTTGCTTATTTCTGGTGTATGCAGGTCACATGGCAGAGTGCCTGCTCAGTGTCAGGGCCCGTGTGGGGACACCAGAGGTCTTGTGAATTCCCAGACGGAGGGTAAGAGAGGACTTGGGCATTCCTGTAGGTGTCTATCTGTAGGCTGGGCAGGATTTGCTCTACAAAAGAGTCCACAGTGCCACTGGACACCTGCTTACTCCTCCTGTCCTTTCCTGGGCTTGATGACTGGCACCAAGATGGGACTGCACTGGTTAGGGCAGTGAGGAGGCCATGCTGCCCCAAGGTTCCAGAGGGAGGCCCCCCACTAGATACGTCCCTGTGGGGCTGAACTGGTTGCAGGGTGCTCAATGGAATGCTTGGCTGCTTCTCTTGTCTCCCCGGTTCCTCTCTTGTCTGGCTCACCACAGTGTGAGCAGACATGGGGCACCAGATGATACTGAGAGGAAACGTGGCACAGGCCAAGATCAATCGTGCGCCCTTCCTGATCTCAGTCCCCGGCCCCTCTCAGGGGCTGGCTTTCTTCCTATGGTCCTCTTCCCACCTGACACCATCTCTTCTGTCTCAGGCCTGCTGCTTCGCTTTCAGCACAGGTGGGCTCTCTCAGGGACCCCAGGGGCTTCACCTACAGGTCAGGAAACAGAGGGGCGCTAGTCCTGCATCCGAGTCCATTGGATCATTGTTGTTGGGAGAATGTCTCACCTGTTCTGAATGTTAGCTTCTAAACATGTTTTAAATTTTCTTTCTTTTTTTTGGAAAGGTATATTCACATATACACACAGAGTGAAGAAGCAAGCGAGAGATCTTGTACTCATGGGTTCACATCCCCTTCCCCCCAAAAGAGTGTGCAACATCATGGCACAGACTAGGCTGGATTCAGAAGCCTGGAACTCCACCCAGGTCTCCCACCTGCATGGCTCAAGTACTTGGGCCATCTGATGCTGCTTTCCAGGCAAAGCAGCAAGGAACTGGATCAGAAGTGGGGTGGCCTCCTGGTAGTCTCACACGGGATACCAGTGTTGCAAGTGGCTTATCCAGCCCTGTGTGTCAGTTCTCGTACCCGCTGTAAATGTTGGAACAGACCACCCTGTGGCTGCTTAATCCTGGCCTTGGTGTCTGTAGGGCAGGGTTTGAATTTTTAGCCTTTGCTTTTTGAGCTGCGGATCGTCTTACAATCTGGTGAAGGAATGCTTGCTTTTCCCTTTTGCTCAGTTTGTACTTTGCTATTTTTATGTTAGTACCATTACATTTATATGCTTTCATGAGATTTCCTACTTCTCTCTCCAGTTTTTCTTTCTTTTTGTAAAAACGGTTGATTTAAGTGAGCAAATGCAGGTAGCCTGATTCTATATAGAGCATCCCCAGACATGTCCAAAGTACTTGCTAAATACAGTGCCTACGAGTCCAGCGTGTAAACTCGTCTCAACCCCTGGTGTTTCCGTTCTGGTTGGCCCTAGGCAGGGTAGGTTTGGGGCTGCTGCGAGCAGGCAGGTCTTCCCTGCAGTGCAGGCAGTCCACATGTTCCCTGGAGGCCCTCTTTGGAGAAGGCAGATTCTGAAACTCACTGTTTTTTCTTCACAGAGAAGGACGAGGGTTTTGATGAAGATCTGTGGCCTCTGCTGCTGCTGGGTGGGGACCCTGGCCATCCTAGCAAGGCGGTGCTGCTGGTCCAGGGCAGTCCTGCAGTCCACTGGGCGTCTGGGTGTGGGTGTGAATGATGCGCTGCTCTCAGCACAGTTGTTGAGATCAGCAGGGTTGCGTGGGTAGCACCTTAGGGGGGCAATGGAACTGACAGGAGATTCGGCAAGCAGAAGCATTATGGCTGTTAGGAAGCACAGGAAGAATGGGGAGCAACTGACTGTTCTAGGAAACCAGCAGGATTCTCGACTCCTCACTGAAACTCCAATCCAGCTAGGTTGTTCTCTTAACTGGGTGACAGCTGGTCCAGCTTAACCAGCATCACTGGATCAAGGCTGTCTGGCTTCAAGCCCAATGCTGCCTAACTCTGGCCAGGTGTGTTACCTTGGATAAGTTTCTTCATGTGCAAAGATAAGAAAAAGCCTAGATTGTGTGGTGAGGATTTTAAACCAGTTGGCAAGCTATGGTTTCCATGCTCAGCATAGGTGATTATTCTCTGGCCATTGCACTTGCAGTAATCAGTTAATTTTTACTTGGAAACAGGATCAGTGGTTGGAAAGAAAAAGCAACAGCAGGTGACTTACACAGCATTGTCTGCTTTAACAAATTACTTGTAAAACTGGGTCAGGAAGCTGGATGCAAACTGATGCCCCAACTGGATCAAGAAGCTGGCTACAAGCAGGTGTCCTGTTCGCTACCCCCAGCCCAACCACGAGCTCTTAGATCCTTACAGACAGTCAGTTCGAGTCCTTTCAGTGGTTTATGTAGCTTTTAAACTGAACCCATGAGGTGGGGATCAAAATTTTTTGGCTTGTGGGGGCAAATACTTTCTCATCCTTCTACAACAAGACAGTATGTTGTGGCAGAAAGCTATCCAGGTCCATCCTGGTTTACAGCCGAAGAAACACCTGCCTTTCAGTGCAGTGCAAGTACGAATTTCTACGCCGTCGTTCCCAAACAAGGCATTGCCTGCAGGAAAACAAAACATAACAACAAGGTGGACATGGGAACCTGCCTGCATCAGGCTCTCTTTCCTGGAGAGGGCTTGTGAGTTTGGAATCCCCTGCTGGGGCCATCCCATCCTCAGCCCTCCTCTTGCAACTCAGCCAGGCTTTAATTAGAAGCCAGAGTCTGGAGGTTTGCAGGGGAGCCGTGTCTAGCCCGAAGCCAAGTCCTTCTCTTAGTTGTTCTGGGTAATCACTCACAGGTACCCCTGCCCTGGCCTGCTGCCTTATCTGGCACCCATGGCTCCCTGGCTGGCTTGTCTGCCTATAGTGTGTCCCAGATCTGCCGTCTTACCTGAGGGCAATGAAAGTAGCAGCAGGCAGAGCAGCCCGGACAGAGCGAGACTCATGACTGAGCAGTAGTGCGCAGAGCCAGTGCCTTTGCAGGTAGCTCGGGCGGTCCCTTTATAGAGACAGGCCAGGGTGGGTGGGGCTGGACTCCAGCCTAACCCTTTCTGGAGGAGAGTCCTTAGGGTGAGGGGGAGACCAGCCCTGCAGCCATCTCTTGCTGTGTTCTTCCCTACAAATCCCAAGAGAAGAAGACGTTCTGCCAAGCCTCAGCTGCTTCTTCCCAAAGCAGTCCAAGGCCAGAAGCCAGCTTTTCCTGGCCAGGCCCCAGCACTTTTCCCCTCTTACTGACAGCAGAAAGGCCTAGAAACTTCTGGAGTCTCACTGAGGGCACGGGGACCCAGAGATGTGATGTCCACCAGAGTGTGTAAGCATGAACATTTGGCCTCAAGGCATCAACCGCAGACCGAGTCAGCTAGTTCAAAACAGTGACCAACAGCTCCCTCTTGTGGCCGGCCTGGCGGCAATATTGCCCGGAAAAGCAGGCCCAGAGGGCTTTGTCTTCCAAACAGGCTAGCCTAGCGTGAAGTGTGGCTTAGGAGTTGGACCGTGAAGGTTCTGGGAGAAGTTTCCACTTTGAAGTGCATAGGTTGGGACGCCCCTTCATCTCTCACCACGGCAGCGTTCAAGGTTGGGTGGACAGGATCAGACAGCACTGCCCTACAACTACCGACACACAGCCCCAGGGGAAGACCTGTCTCCTTTGGGTGTAACAGTGGGTGACTAAGAAAAGGCTGACTTTGATTTGAGTGTGCCCCTGGAGGTAAGCTTGTCCTCACGTAGCCCACGCCTGTAGGAATCCAAGTCTCTGATGAGGCCACAGAATGTGGTTTTATCGGCTCCACTCAGCAGGTGCACGCCCTTGGGTACATCTTTTGGCCTCTTTTGAGTCTCAGGGCCCTCTCTTTAGGTAGTGCATTTTGAAAAGAAAATGAAGGAAGGCTTATAAAATGCTTTACATTCAAGTTGGTATGTAGCTACTATTCAGTTGGATCACCAAAATGGTCCCATGCTGCTTGGGCCTCATGTCAGCAACTTGCACCCATAGTCATGGGACTGGCTCCAGGGCAACCCCTTGTGCTTTCAGAGATAGGAATAGCAAAGCTCAGAGATGGGCTGGCCCGAGAGATGGGCTGCAGTGGGTTGCGGGGAGTCCCACGTCAGACCTGGCTCAGAACCCTGTCTTCAACCTATTTTTAAAGTTGCTTACACATTTGTTAGGCAACACGGGAAGTCTGATTCTAACATTTTCTAAGGGCACATGAGTCACCTCCAAGAATTGCACAATTCCGGAAGAGCAGATCTGAACTGTGCTTAGAGAGCCATGCATGCTCAGGATGGCCTATTCCTGTTTCCACTCCCATCCTCTCTGAGCCCCCTGCCACCATGGGACCGTGGATCTTTCTCCGAGTGGAGCCCAGCAGGCCCCGACTCTGCCCCTGGGCTTGTTGGGAAAAGCAGCCAGGGAGATAAAAATGGCCTCCTGGTCTTCCCATCACTGTCGCTCTCCTTGTGTGTTCTTCTTTTGTCCCTAGTTTTCTAGAGCTCCTACGCTGCCCTTGCCATTTGTACCTTCAAGAATAAAGCATATAGGGACCAGCGTGATGATGCAATTGGCTAATCATCTGCTTGCAAGCACCAATATCCCAGATATGGGTGCCAGTCTTTCCTGTTCCAGCTGCTCACTTCCAATCCAGGCCCCTGCTTATGGCCTGGGAAAGCAGCAAAGGATGGCTCAAGTCCTTGGGCCCCCACACCTGCCTTGGGAGATCCAGAAGAGGCTCCTGGCTCCCAGCTTTGGATCCCCTCAGCTCTGACTATGGCAGCCATTTATGGAGTGAACCAGCAGATGAAAGACCTCTTCTCATTCTTGTTCTCTCTGTAAAGTTTGCCTTCCACATAAAATATGTCTTAATAAAGCATGCAGTCTAGCATACCTCTCCCTTCCAACTGTATCATTCCCAGCCAGATGGTTCCTGGGGACAGTGATCCCACTCTGATTTTCCTCCTCACAAACTCACATTTTCATATAATTTGTGTTATTAAATTTTGAAAATAAACTCTTGATAAGAGATGTCATATGTATGAAGAAAAATAAATGAATCCTAGCCACACTTCATTGCTCCCTGGGGAGCAAGCATTGTGTAAGCACCACTGAGGTCGTAGCAGTAGGACTTTCCAGCATGAAGTCATGCTCCCACACATGCCTATGATGGTCACAGAGGCAGCCTTCCCCCCTGGCTCAAATGGTCACCCTGCTCTGCCTTCCCCTCATGATATGCATCTGCCCATCTGCATGATGAAGTCATGTGATTGACTCTGACTGCTTTAGACATACACAGAAATGGCAGCAACAAATACAATGCTATTAAACACATTTTATGGGCCTGGTGCAGTAACCTAGTTAAAGTCCTCACCGTGCATACACCAGGATCCCATATGGGAACTGGTTCATATCCTGGCTACTCTACTTCCCATCCAGCTCCCTGCTTGTGACTGAGAGAGCAATGGAGGGTGCCCCAAAGCTTTGGGATCCTGTACCCACATGAGAGACCTGGAAGAAGCTCCTGGTTCCTGGCTTTGGATCGGCACAGCTCTGGCTGGCCATTGCGGCCACTTGGGGAGTGAGCCAGTGGACAGAACATCTTTCTCTGTGTCTCTTCTTCTCTCTGTAAATCTGACTTTCCACTAAAAATAAGTAAATCTTGTTAAAAAAATTTTTGTTTAAATATATTCAAGTCTGTGGCCTATCTTTTTCATTGATTTTTATTCATGTAAAATAGTTTGTGAATTATTCAGGACATGTTCCTTCTATGCATCTTTTGATACTACTATATGCAACAAGTATCTTTGAGTAAACTACATTTTACCACTCTTTCTTTCTTTCTTTCTTTCCTTCTTTCTTCTTTTATTTGAAAGCTACAGAGAGAGAGAAAGAGAGAGAGAGCTTGAGAGAGAGAGAGAGAGAGAGAGAGAGAGAGAACTTTTATCTGCCTGAGTACTCCTGAAATACCTGCAATGGCTGGAGCTGGAGCTGGGCTGGGCTGATCTGAAGCCAGAAGCCAGGAGCTTCCTCCAGGTCTCCCATGTGGATGCAGGTGCTCAAGGTTCTGGCCTTTCCCCTGCTGCCTTCTCAGGCCATAAGCAGGGAGCTGAATAGAAGTGGAGCAACCAGGAACCAAGCTGCTGCCCACATAGGATGCTAGCACCATAGAGTGGAGGATTAGCCTCATATGCCAAGGTACCAGCTGGTACTTTTTAAAAAAAGCATCTTTAAAAATGTTGTTGTATTTTAAGCCTTATTTATTTATTTGAAAGCAGAGTTACAGGGAAGGAAAAAGAGAGATCTTCCATCCACTGATTCAATCCCCAGTGGCCACAATGGCCAGGACTGGACCAAGCAAATGCCAGAAGTCTGAGCTCCATCTGGATGTCCCATGTGGGTAGGAAGAGCTCAAACACTTGGGCCATCTTCCGCTGCTTTCACAGGTGCATTACCAGGGAGCTGGATGACATGTGGGAGTAGCCGATACTTGAACCAGCATTGGGTAGAATGATGCTGGCATCACAGAAAACTGCTTAACATACTGTGCCTCAAAGCTGATGCCCAGTTTACTTTTTTTTATGGCATCTGTGGTGCCCCTCACCCCTGCCCCCTGTAGTGATTGTGCAATGCCTTATCCACAGAGCCTGTGAATATGTTTACCTGCCTTGTCCAAATCGGGCTTGGCCCATGTAATTAAATTGAGGAGCCAGAGAGAGGCCCTTATCCGTGATGATTCAGTCCTACCCAGGAGTTCCAGGGAATGAAGATAACCCTGGTTATTATAGCCTGAGAAGACATGTGAGGATGGGAAGACACCGAAGTGTCCAGAGGAAAATGTTGTGTTCTGTGGACAGTTTGTCAGAAGCTGAGAAAGAAGCAAGTGAGCCCCGAGGACTCTGGGCCCAGTGGCTCAAGGGCATCTGAAGTTGAAAGCAAGTACTGAAGTCTTTCTGTGCTGTGAACAGCCAAGAAGAGCAATTTCCAAACCCATGTCTCCTCAGGCAATGTCCTAAGACCCCAGATATAATCTAGTCTTACCTTCTAGGCAAATGTCTTTCTTGATCCTTTGGGGAAACCAGCGTCACCTCCCTGTCCCTCTCAAATTCCCTGGAGCAGACAGGATGTCTGTATTATCCTTGTGTCTAAGAGCTGTGTTGTGTAACCATCTGGAGCCCCCCTGCTTGAGTCTGGGTCTAAAGCCATTCTCAGAGATTACAAGGGTCTCTGTGAGATGGGGGCCACAAAGTACCCCGCAATCTATGTCACGTTCCAGTACAGCGTCAGAGAAACATGGTGAAGGGGTGAAGAATTCTGCAGCAGGCCAGAGAAGAGTCAGGTTTTTCATCTCCTTTTTAAAAAGGATTTATTTATTTATTTTAAAAGATTTTTTTTGTATTAAAAAGGCAGATCTACAGAGAGAAGGAGAGACAAAGATCTTCCATCCACTGGTTTACTCTCCAAGTGGCTGCAATAGCTGGAGCTGAGCCGATCCAAAGCCAAGAATCAGGAGCTTTTTCCAGGTCTCCCATGTGGGCGCAGGGTCCCAAGGCTTTGGGCTGTCCTCCATTGCTTTCCTAGGTCACAAGCAGGGAGCTGGTTGGAAAATGGAGTGGCTAGGATATAAGCCGGCTCATCTATGGGATCCCAGAGCTTGCAAGGTGAGGATTTAGCTGCTAAGCCACTGCACCAAGCCCAGGTTTTTCAGGTTTTACCCAACACCTCTTTTGGCCTGTCCTTTACACAGAGGCATGGTTCAAGCACGTAATGTCCACTGTAGAACTGTTGACAAGAAAGGTGGTGTTGTATGAGGAAACCTGTGCAGAGATTGAGTGGGCAAAAACAATATGTGGAGAAAAGTGGTCCAACTTTAGGTTCCACATTATGCTTGTGTATTTTTCCAAACCCAGAGTTTATCACTTGTTTTTATGCTCTTCCAAAGCACACCCAAACTTCAGG